CAGTGTGTAAAAGATGTGTATGAAGCAGCAATTGCAATTGCTGTGGAGGAGATTCAATCTTGTAGCAGGGATTGTCATGTTGCTCAAAGAGAAATATGTTTCAAGGTAAAATCTTGCCAAGGGTCACACTCTGGGAAAGGGAAGGCAGAACTGAACTCACCTTGGGTGAAGCCACCCACAGGGAAGGGATGTGGAGGGTGAGGGACAATAGATGCTGCAAATCCACAATTCAAGGCAGTTGAATATAGGAATAAGATTGGAAACTGGTTAGCCACAGATGATGAAGAGTTAGCTGTGATCAATAGGGTACTAATCAATTAAGACTTCAGAATTAAAAACAGCTTTAGAATAAAGGCTCTGGGGTCATTTAAGAAACTCAGCATTACTGCAAAGAAATTGCTAGAAAGGACTCCATCAAGACTCCAAATTAAGTATGAAATGACACAGAAGGAAGACAGACTTATGAACAATTTATCCTGAACACTGTGGTTCAGAAATGAAACAAGTGAAGGAAGAATAGCTGATAACTGAGTGGGGTGTTTGTAGTTGTTGATTTTTAACTCTTTTCTCTCAGGGGGCCTGACAATAATCTCCCAAATAAATACACAGAGACTTGTTCTTGCTTATAAATGCCTGGCCTTAGCTTGGCTTGTTTCTAGCTAGCTTTCCTTAACTTAAATTACCCCCTTTACCTTTTGCCTCTGGGCTTTTATCCTTCTCTATTCTGTATATCTTTCTTTGCTTCTTACTCCACTGCTGGTTTTGTAGCTGGGTGGCTGGCCACTGATAACCTCCTCTCCTTCTACTTTTCTTTCTCCTCCTTCTTCTCTTTTTTTCCTTCTGTTTATTTTCTCTGCCTGGCAGCCTTGCCTATTCATATCCAGCCTATTGACCATTTAGCTCTTTATTAGACCAGTTTTAGGCAGGCAGAGTTACACAGATTCACAAAGTCATACAAATGCAACATAAAAGAATGCAACATGTCTTTGCATCACTAGATATTCCACAGCATAAAGGAATATAACACATCTTAAATTAATATTCCACAACATATGTTCATGCGTAAAGATAGTCAACAAAAATTTGGATGGGACAAGTCTTTTGTTTTGTTTTTCGAGACAGGGTTTCTCTGTATAGCTTTGGAGCCTATCCTGGCATTGGCTCTGGGGACCAGGCTGGCCTCAAACTCACAGAGATCCGCCTGCCTCTGCCTCCTGAGTGCTGGGAATAAAGGCATTCGCCACCAATGCCCGGCTAGGGACAAGTCTTTTAAAGGATGACATTACACCTTTTCATGCTGAACCAACAAATATCCTAATGAAGAATATAAGCAGATACAATGAGACAGATTCTGAGTTCATTAACAAGCAAAATGCCACACAATGCAAAGCACTCTATTGCTACACACAGCTCTTTCATGTCACAGCATGTGCTCACACACATAGAATAAATGTCTTATTTGATTGAATATTTTCCTTTTTGTTCTTTATGGGCATGGTGGGGGAATGACAGGGTAATTTTTGAAGAATTAAAGTGCAAAATACCAATCCAGTGCATGTCTGAGTATACATTTCTAGGCTATAATATTTAAAGTGGATGGAAGTAACAACAATGTAGAAGACAGCTAGGCCCCCTCCCTTAAAAACAGTGTGTAAAAGATGTATATGAGGTAGATTCCCAAAGTTTTAGATACATTTTTGAATTCTCATTATTAGAGATTTTGTAATATATAAATTCTTAGAAAATTATAAGATTTATTTTTTTCACTTATCTACTAGTGAAACAGATATTTTCAGTTACAGTTTGATCAGACAGGTCTGCCCAAGTTGTAATGTTCTCTGGAAGGCAGATAAAACTGTAAAGCCATGCCACAAGCATTGAGTGGTGTGTAAGGTAAAGTCAGGAGAATGCAGTGGAGCCCTTCAAGCTGTCCGAAAGAAAGCATGCAAGGAGTAGTCAGATTCGGATCCTGGTGCTAATAGAAGCTAGGTAAAAAGATGCTTCATTTCTGTGAAGCTGAGTAAAGAAAAGATGCCAGGCACTTGCTCTTCCTGAAAGGGCCTGGAGAAAGGAAGCAGCGATTTAAAGGTCCCTGAAATGTGCTTCTTATCAGGCACAAAGCAGCTTACAGACTGCAAGATTTAAGACACGCGACTTTGACCCTCATGGAGATTCTGCACAGCCTTAGTCAATTCGGACTCCCAAAAGCCAATACAGTAGACAAAGTGGTGGAATAACAGACACTTATTTGTCACCGTTCTGAAGGCCAGAAAATTCTCAGGACCCAGGTTCTGATTGGTAGGGTTCCCACACAGTCCTGCAGCAGCCACCTTCTCACGGTGT